ATAATTTCATAAAATTTAGGCGCTAAATAGAGATATGATCGCTGCATTATAGATTTATGCGGTTGAGGAACTACTGTGCCACGAATTTTGTATCTGGTATAATGATTATGTTTAATTTTTTGGTCGGTGTTTACAAATTTATGGTAGTGAGTGATACTGTGTAAGAAATAAAGCTGTCTTATATCATACATTCGAACATCTGCGTATAATTTTTCAGTGGGATAAAGTTTCGGTTTTTTAAATATCATTTTTAGAATACTTTTTTGAAAAACCTCTAAATTATAGATATGTGAGGAACATGCAGCTCCCCATGCTAATATACCATATGTGAGATGAGGCTCAATCAGTGCATGGTATAATGTTCGAAGATATTTTTCTGTCCATATATTCCCAAGGTATTTAATTTTTTAGGATACAAATCTAACTTTCTTTAAAATATAATTGACATGGATGTCCCATCGTAAGGGAGGATCCAAGACTACTCCAAGGTATTTTATGTTGGGCACTCTATTAATTTGCATTTTTTGATCATTAATGTTGAAGGAGAAATTTGTGTAATTTGGCAGATGTCTAGCATAAGATCCAAATGGTAAAAAATGTGTTTTAGAGTAGTTAATGCTTAATTTTCTACTGTTAAACCACCGAATAATTTTGATAAAATCATTTTCAATTACATTTTTCAGATCAGACCAGTCAGTGCCTTCATATAATATTGCAGTATCATCTGCAAAACTAGTTATTTTGCCAACACAATTAATTTGGAAAATATCATTTAAAAATAAATTAAATAACAGCGGACCTAAGACAGTTCCTTGTGGGACACCACACTTAATATACATTTCTTTACTAAATGATCCTGATATCTGCACAGATTGTGGGCGATTTGACAAATAATTTTCGATCAGTGAGTACGCGTTTCCTCTGAAACCAATTCTCTCCAATGCTTCTAATAATAATTTGTGATTAACTGTGTCGAAAGCTTTTTTTAAATCAACAAAAATGCAGATAAAGGGATTCTGTTATCAATATTTTGATGTATTTGATTTACAATTTTAGTTATTGCGTCCGATGTAGCCTTCCCTTCTGTAAATCCATATTGATTTTCACTTAAAATTTTGAATTTTGTGAGGTATCGGATCATTCTAGTAGATAAAACTTTTTCAAAAACCTTTGCTACACTGTATATTATTGATATTGGTCTATAGTTGTTAACATCTGTTTTTGTTCCTGATTTATGTATCGGTATTATACTACCTTTTTTTTAAATTGAGGGATATATGCCAGATTAAAAGCATTTGTTGATTAGGTAAGTGAGTGGTTCTGTTATATCCTCGGCTATAATTTTCAAATGCTCGCTTTTAATACCATCGAACCCAGGAGTTTTCCGATTTTTTAAGGACATAACAGTGGTGTATACTTCACATTGCTCGACTTTATCCACAATAAATTAGTTCAAAGTTCTTTTTGGAGGCTGAGTATTTTGTACATTTGCTTGTATATTACTTGCTAAATTTTCGCCTATGTCAGTAAAGAATTGTACAAATTCATCGCATATCTGTTGAGTATTTTTTAATACTATTCCCGATGTTGTATTTAACTCAGCGACATACTCTTTAAATTTTGTTTTCCCAGTAATCTCCTCAATAGTTGTCCGAAGCCGCTTAGGATCATTTAAGTTATTATTCAATTTATTTAGATAATGTTTTCGTTTGGTTTGCCTTGCAAGGTCTATAAATTTATTTTTGTATTGGTTGTAGCAGTCGGTATTCTCTGTAGTTGGCGTTAGTTTCATTACATTATTATAGTCTTTCTTTTTCTATTGCCGATGTTATTAATCCTTTGGTAATCCAGGCATTTCTGCTTTTCTCTTTGTGACTAATTATTACTTTATTGGTACTAATATCTATTAGTTTTTTTTATTTTCTCTATGAACAGTCCCGTTGCTTTGTCTATATTATTTATAGAGTATAATTGTTCCCAGGATTCTTGTTTGACATTTGATATTAGTTTTGAATTGTCGACAAAAAATTTGTAATTTTCCTGGTTGTTATTAACGGTAGGGATGTTAGAATGTTTTTAATTTGAAGATATCAGTAAAATAGTGGACAAGTGGTCAGTAACATCGCTTTCTAGGATTATTGGTATACAAGTAATTTTGTTGGATAGGTCTTTCACAAAGCAATGATCTATACATGTGCCACTGATGGACCTTGTAGGTAGGTTTATATAGGACAGAAGTCCGTTACTTGATAAGATATTCAAGTATTCATTTGTGATGGGATCATCGTCCAAAATATTTATATTGACGTCTCCCAAGAAAATATGTTGCTTTAAATGAACTTAATTTTGATTTTGAAAAAAAAATTCGATATTCTTTAAAAACTCGTGGGGTTCTGAACATGGTGGACGATAAATTGCAGATACCTCAATTTTGTTATGGTTAATTTGGATCATTATGTTTAAAATTTTGATTCCATCGGTGAAAGTGAATGTATCATGATTATATTGCAGTTCATTTCTTACAAAAACTATCACCCCATCGTTTTGGTTATAAGTGCCAAAGTTATACAGCGTGTCATATCCCTGCTGATTGAAGCAAGCAATATCAACCACTTGCCACGTTTCAGTTAAAACTATTAGATCAAAATTGTACCATATTTGGTCGAGTAGTATTTTTAAGTAATCAATGTTGTGTTTTATACTCCTTATGTTCATATTAAAAATTCGAAATTTTGCATCAGAATTTTGTGTACATAAATTAAGTTCATCGACGTTTTGTGCTATATTTGTTGCAATACTTGGAATTTGGACATCATTAATGTATTTATTTACTGACCTTTTTAGGTCCTCTTTAGAGATAGGAGTATCAAAAGATGAACTTGAATTTTAGAAAAGTATCCTTAAGTTTTGTTGTTCCTGATAAGATTTATACGATGTACAGTTTTTGTCGGTAGGTGAGTGGTTAATATTATATTTTTTTTTATATCTTTCATTTCCATATCTACAGTTGCAGCATTCTATTGATACATGCTTACAATTTTCTCCTTCGTGACCGTTGCCACAGTTGGCACATATCTTCTCATTCCTGCAATACTTGTCTGTATGATTAAAGCGGTTGCATTTTCTACACTGAGAAATGTCGTTATTTTGATATACTGTCAAACATTGCCACCCCAGAAGTATTCTTCTATTATTGTCTTCGAAGATTTTTTTGAATGGTTTTCCAGAAGTTTCCGCGTAGATAGTGTAATTGTTTCTTGATGGAAAATATTTTATAAACTTTACTTGTATGTCTCCATTCTGAATCATATAATTCTGATGTATAAGATCTTCTTCAATTTGCTTTTCATTCGGTTTCTCACTACTTTTATAATTTATTATTTTAATTTTTGGATTTAACATTTTCGGCTCAGTAACTTGGTATTTTTCACTCAATTTATTTTGAAGTTCATCTTTCAGTTTATTATGATTTGATTCATCAATTTTTATATCAATTCCGCCATTTTTTGAGTTTCTCACACTTTCTATTTGAATGTTCAGAGATGAAAGATTTATTCTCTTACTCAATTATTTTCTCGTATTATCGCAAGATTGTTTTTCTTTTGGAATAACTGTGATGCGTTTAAGCAATTGCCTTTTAGTAATAGGTATCGTTTGTTTTAAGATTTGTGCGTATGAATTTTCTTTTACTAATTGGTTTTTCTCAACTTCGTCGAGTCTCATGTTAATTCTATTTAATGCTGATGATATGGCATCCTTCTCAGTAATACTTGCGGTTATTGACAGTTGCTGCTCTTTTAGTTTTAAATTTTCGTTATTGAGCTGACGAATTATTTCCTCCTTTTCTGCTAGTGCTTTCTTCAGGGATCGATTCTCTTCTAATATATTTTTTACATTAGTCGAATCAGGTCGATTTTCTTCATCTGTGATGCAGTTTTTTTCATTCTCAGGCTTTTCTTGTTGTTCTTCTTCTTCCTTCTTCTTTTTGCGGGTCATGATTGTCTGTATAGTAATTTCTTATGTATTATGAATCAGGAAGAACAGTCAACTTGTTAATTTTACGTCACTCCGAAGTTATATAAATATGGCCGAAAACGACTGAAAATTGTAAAATCCGCTTCACCAATGTATCCAGACCCGTATTTTATTCTTATAAATGGAAACTCTTCGCCAAAAGGTTATTTCATGGACTGTGTACCAACTAATTTCTTGACAAGGTAGGACGATATCGTCTGCTTGTTTACTACTACTTAATAGATATATAAAATGGTACAAGAGACTAATAGATATGCTGAAAATTTGATGTCACAAGAAAACAAACCTAAATCAAGACTAAATTTATGGAAACCAGTAGATCATAATGAATTGCAAAACTTTTTTGCCATAGTAATAGCCATGGGAATTGTGAACGCTCCAATAATGAATTTGTATTGGTCCAAAGATTCCTTATATCATAATAAATTTATATCATCTTGTATGACAATTATTTTAAGATGCTGGCATTTCGTGAATAACATAGATGGTACTGGCGAAGACAGACTGTTCAAAATTCGACATTTGATTGACAGCTTGACAAAGACATTCAAAGAAGGTGACTGTTCCAAAAAAAGTAGTTATAGATGAGTCTATGATACCATGAAACAATATTATATAAAACAAATCCCACAAATATGGTGATAAACTTTACAAACTTTGAAATATTGATGGTTAAGCGATTAATCTCAAAATTTATTCTGGTAAAGAAGACACGGATGGTACCGGCAGCCACGTGAGTTTATAGTGGATTCATTACTTAGTGACTACTATGAATACGGCCGCATTTTATATTCCGATAATTTTTATACTTCTTATGAATTGACAAAATATTTGAAGACCAAAAAAACAAGAATTTGTGGTACCTTGAGAAAGAATCGCAAAACTGTTCCTAAAAATATTATTTCTCAAAAGCTTAAAAGAGACCAAATAGCATAGCTGGAAAAGGGTCAGAAGGCATAAAAATTATGAAGTGGGTAGATAAAAGACCGGTTCTGATGCACTCAGCCTGTGAAAATCACGATACATCATTAGTTAATACAGGAAAAATAAGAAAAGGACAGACTGTAAAAAAACCACAGTGTGTAATCGATTACAATAACTCAAAAAAGGTGTCGATTACAGTGACCAGAAGGCATTTTACCAGAGCCCTTCCGAAAGAGTTAATTTTTAATTCAGCAATCGTCAATGTTTGGGTTATGTTTAATTATCAACATCCAACTAGCAGGCTCACAATTCTCCAATTTAGAGAAAAACTAGCGAAATATTTCTATCAGTGTGGCAGAGAAGAATTGCAACCGGAACGGCCAGGAACTCCTAAAAGATACCATACCCGTACTGTAGGGGAAACCGAAAACAAAAAGAGGAGAAAATGTGTAGGATGCTACAAATTACTAAGAAGAACAATGAATAGTCGCGAAGCTGACAAAACGGTAAAAAAAGTCTACACTCACTGCGAGGAGTGCGCGGGGAAGCCGGCCTGTTGCTTAGTTTGTTTTAATGAAGCCCATTAGTCGTTTTGTATTGCAAAATCAATATTTTACTTTTCTTTTATTATATAAATGACACCATATTTTAGCTTAGAATTTGACTGTTTCTATATTTTAGCTTAGGATTTGACTGTTTTAGTTTAATATCAAAGAAAGTGTTTTTAATATTATTGCAAAAATACATATTTTACTTTTTCCTATCGTAAATACTATTATTTAACTTTAGTATTTCCTGGCTCTGTTTTAGATTAAAGGAACTTTTATAATTATTACTGTGTCGTTATTTCTTTAAAAAAGCTTTTATTTTACCAAAAAAAAAATCAAAACTTTATTGTTGACTACGAGGTATATTTCACCCCCATTTGTGGTTATCCTGGTATATTTTGGGAAACACGCTCCGGCACGTGAATTTTGATTGACGTACCCCATGAAAGATCTTAACCGTACTGACACTGACTGATATCGAGGGTAATACTGATATAAAATAATGTTAGTGGGTAACCGTTCTCCACCTTTTTCTATTCAGCATTGTCTGGTGAGCAGACTGATCGACATACTTTGACATAAAGGTGAATCTGTCATGAACAGTAGAGATAATCAACAACATATTTGACAAATTAGCTCTTCTACAGTATATTCAGATAAGAGATAGACCGGATGTAAACAAAAGGTTCGGGTGATTTTCACGCTAACGCCGCCGTCTCGACGTAAAACCCTCATTGGTCAATTCGCAATTAAATGCCTATGCCGAGCGGCAGAGCAGTCGTATCAAGGCAGAGTCACATTCAGGTTCAGACGTGTTACGTATATCGTGTGCATCATTGCAATTTGATATTTCTTTGGACGTTTTCGTTTGTTATCTTATTAAGTTGTTGAGTTTGTCGTTGTTATTGTTATACCTTGTTATTGATTGTTATTGTTATCAACTGCTTGTGCAAAATGCCCAGTAGTACAGATACTGCCGATGAAGTTGTAAACTCCTGTAGTCCACCTAGGAAACGCTCTAAAAAAAGACACCTGAGTGCAGAAATGAAAGAGGTCATTTTGAATATACCTATATAAGATCGAGCGCGAGGAGAACGAGGCATCAACCATCAAAGAAATTGTTGTGAAGGTTTCTCACAAAGTTGGGGTGTGTCGCGCATCAGTGTTTAATGTGTTAAGACAATACAAAAAAATCACACCTTTTCTGAGCCAATGACCAGTAAACATCGCAAAAGTATTGTTAAATCATTGGATGAAGCTGATAAGCATGCGATTAGGAGGAAAGTGCATGAATTCTTCTTTAGGAATGAAATACCTACTATAGATAAAGTACTGCAGGAGGTAAATGGAGATACAACGTTGCCAAATTTCAAACGATCAACTTTCCATGCGTTACTGAAGCATTTAAATTTCAAATGGAAAAAACGGGGTCGTAATAGTCTACTACTGGATAGAGAAGAAATTGTGCTATTGCTTATTTAACAAAAATTGGGAAATATAGAAATCAAAACAGGAAGATTTATTACCTTGATGAAACGTGGGTAAACGCAGGACACACTACAAGTAAAGTATGGGTTTATGATTCTGTAACTTCATCCAGGAGGGCCTTTCTAGATGGACTGTCCACCGGATAAAAAAATCCAGCAGGTAAATACGAGTAATAGACAACAATCGGATGTCTTTCAAACCTTGGGAACAAGGTTCTAAACATTAATTCCAGGGGGCAGATAAAACATATTACAAGTAACAAAGCTTTTATAACTTTTGATAAAATGCGTGGATGTTTTATTGTCATTTTCATTTATTAGAACTTTTTTAAGCCATGTTTTTATGTGTTTTCGATATTTCAATAATTTTTTAATATAATCTTAAAACATGTCGAATATTATAGACTTAAAAAAAGTTACTAAGTTTTATATTGTGTACCGTTCCTAATATTTCTAATCATTTTAATTCATACTTTAAGCTTTATAAAGTTATAATTTGTTAATATTAATATTTGCGCGTATTTCAGGTTCCTGATCATTCATTTTTTAAAGGTTTATAACTTTAAATTAAATTGTGAAGCGCTGAGTAATCATACGACGTTCAATATTCTTTCTTTCAATATGACTAAATAATCCCAATTATAGCAATCTGATACTCATGTCTCAATGTTTTTTCGCTGAATGTGATGAAAACATTTGAAAAAGGTTCGCTTATTGAAATAAATCTACACCAGTTAGTACTTCGATTTCCAGGTAAAGGGAAAAGGCTCATTATCTGCCATATTGGGAGTGAGGATGGATTTGTTGTTGACGGTCTGTGGTGCTTTGAGTCTAAGAAAACTGGAGATTACTACGAGGAAATGAATGGCGAATCGTTTGAGCAGTGGTTTTCAAAAATTTTACCGAACTTAGAGGAAAACGCAGAAATTGTGTTGGATAATGCGCCTTATCATTCTCGAAGAATGGAGAAGGTCCCAACAACGGCTTCAAGGAAAGTTGATGTTCAAAATTGGCTCCGCTCGAAAAATATCAACTTTGAAGAAGCAATGCTGAAAGTACAATTATTAAGAATTGTCAAGGATCACAAGCCGGAATATCAAAAATACGCCATTGACGAAATGGCAGCAAGTCAAAATAAAACTGTGCTCCGTTTACCTCCATACCATTGCGAGCTCAATCCCATTGAGCTCATATGGGCAGAGGTTAAAAATTATATAGCTAAGCACAATACAACTTTTAAATTTTGTGACCTCAAAGGACTTTTCAAAGAAGCACTAGAATTAATAACAGCGCAAAAATGGGAAAACTGTATTAAGCACGTGAAAGACAAAGTTGAAAAGAGAATGTGGGAACTGGACAATATTTTAGAGGAACAAGTCGAGCCATTCATTATTGACGTTGGTGCTTCAGGCAGTAGCGATGATGAAAGCTCATCAAGCTCATCTTTCCAATAAAAGATGTCGTTCATCAAATTCGGTAAGTTATAAGTAATTATAAAGCTACTGTATTTTTTAATTAATTATTGACATTTTTGAACCCATTTTGGAAAAACCTATTCAAGAATCTACTTTCTGACAATGTTCAACCATGCACATTTTTTTACGTTTTGAACGTTTTAATTTGGTTACATATTTACCTAGAAATCAAAAAATATACTAATAAATATTCTAAAAGCAATTTTAAGAGATATACGATTATTTTTAATTTAGGCTAATTTAAACGCCATTTTGAGATTATATTCGACTGTATTTCACCAAACATCAGGCGGCATCCGAAGCTGGAAATCGAAGCGAAAATTTTGAAACCCTTATGTATATTTACATCATTATATATTTCTTACCCCACCCCCACAAGATCCTATATCCATCACCAATCGTATACACATCGAATTGTGCTAATTTACTACAAAGTTACGCAAAGCAGCATCTACTATCTAAAATATGTACTGCGTGACTCTTAATACGTCCCTGCCGAATGTTACAGCGTTCGATGATCACGTGGTCTTGTTTATGTCCGGTCTATCTCTTATCTGAATATACTGTATGCAGACCCAATTAACGTGCTTGTCAGAATTTTTTGGGAAAGACTATGCTGACGTGTGCGATTATAGAACCATATGATGTCACAGTTGCTAAAATGGCTGGTCTGTTAATTACTAGCATGCCGAATGGCCGCAGAAAAAAATACTGACTGTCGTGGATCGATTTGGTCATTAAAATTCAAACGAAAGTGCTGCGAGCTTTAATATACTTTTGTGAAGGGTATAGTAACTCTGTACCTCAGAGCTAGACTAGCCCGTAACGACAGACGACCAATAAATTGAACATTACCACAGACGTGGAGTCCAAATGACTCCTATAATGAAAGTCATGGAAAACATATTTGAAAAATAAAAAAAAGGTTACCTCTATGTTATATTACTTAAATAGGGTCTTTTCAATATCGTTTTGAATAAAAAAAAATCGTCAGTAAAAAGTAACCGAGTTTTAAAGAAATATATTTATTGTACCCAATTTTCGTGAATATTTACAATAACATTTTTGGTAACTTTTAAACATAAAAAATGAACTTGCTGAGTACTTCTTATACAAAACTCGTTAAAAACATAAAACAGAATACTTATGACGATTAGAAATTAACGTGAAAGTAATATTCTGTAAACGTGCAGTAGGTTTTCCCAAGTAATTTTTTCATTTTGCATAGTCCACGCAAACTATTTGGAACGGTTTTTTCCATAGAAATAGTTTCCTGTAGAAACGCCGTTCGATGTATCATCTTCCTCAGTAGATAGTATTTCACAATATCCGTCACTGTAAATGAATTCGGCATCTGAATCAATATCACTGCCGTTTTCATTTTCCTCATCCACCTCAGTCGCCCATTTCAGCAAAGTTTCCTCGTAGTCCGAATCGCCATATCAAACTTTTTTTGAAGGACCTGCTTTCTATCAAAATCCATCATAAAACCTAAGCCAGGCCGAGCAGGTTCATGAAATACAGACCTGTAGTCCTTCTGACTCCGTCGGAAAGGTAGACTAAGGAGAAAACGTGAAATTCCCCATCACGTACTAGCAAGGAGTAAAATTGACTCGGTTACGGGCTAGTTTAAGTGCGCTTTTGCCTAGAACTACTTATAGTTCCATGACAATATTACAAATTCTCATTTGCTACTTGCAGCAAGTGGGGAAAATAAATAAAGTATAAAATTACAATCCCATGTAATTTGAACAAAATATATCATACGAACTAATCCAAGACAATATAATTCAAACTCATTTATCTCAAAAGTACTGATTTGGACTCCACCTAGTCTGGCACTGAGGTAAAAAACTGGACCTCAAATTCGTCATCGCCCCATTGCTCCTTCTTCATTCATCTCGTTTGTTACAGAAGCTGGGAGCTTATCAGCCATAGTCTACGCAGACGACGTCACCAGTGGACTCAAAGACAGTACCAGACTTCATGTGAACGTTCTTCCGATATGCGCAAAGGACTGTAATAAAATGGTGGAAGAAGTCTGCTTCTGGACAGATGCAAAATACCAGATCGAAGAGGATGTTGAGAGGGATGTAGTGCTTGGTAGTTTGTCGTCGGCGTACTTGATGGAGTTGTGTTCGATCTTCAAAGTGACTTACACCGTATCAGGTAGTGCTATCACTTTCAATTCTATGCATTGCTGTTACGTGGAAGTAAAATTACGACCAAATCATGATTTATCGTTGTTTGGAATGGGATTTTGCATTTTTACCGACTTCAATTTCAAGGATTCATACGTAATAGCATTGATCAACGTATTCTGCATCCAAACATGGCTTTGGAATATACGAACGCCATCTATGAGGCAGTAGCAGAACACAAAAAGGAATCTAGACATATACTTTGAAAAGGGTTATGGTGTCTGGTTCTGTTTATGTCTCATATGTAGCGCTTGGATCGTCAAACACTTCTTACTTTCCTCGTCGCTGGCGAGGAAAAATTTCGAAAATGGGCGATGTTAAACGAAAAATCATGTCACTCGATTTCGCCGGTCTTTTTGTCTGCTCGTCTGTCGCACAGAAGGTTTACTACTATACTAAGGACGAAAAATTTTATAGTTTATGAAAATTGATCCAGTGGCGGCGGAGCTGGGATTAAAAAAGTAAAATAATAAAAATCGCTCAAACTTCGTTTTTCAAGGTTTCAGAGGATCTTGATCATTCTTTAAAAATTTTTTGGGGAAACGCATTTTTTAATTCTACCCACCTATTGGACATATTGTACTTATCGCAGGTCTCCTCTTGCATTTATCCTTAAAACTTAGAATGATATATTTCTGACTCTTGCGTATCTGTCATATACTTCGCAGTTCTGCCTGGGTGTGGACTGAGGATCGTCACCCACGCACATGGTTTCGACCATGTGCGTTCGCAGGATTTTTTTTTAGAGGTAGAAGGAGGGTCACCCATCGGTAAGAGATAACCCTGTGTGAAGGCGGAGCCGTCAACAACTTTTGGATAGATAGATGGATAGATAGATATGAAGAGCACACGGGAAAAACGATCTAAGTCACTTTTGGCAAATTTTGAGATAAATCACTTTTAAAGTTTCAAAGTATCCCGTTATTACATAGTGAAACAAATAAAATATCTACGAGCCCCTTCCCACTTCAGTTGGCCCAACTATTGAAATCTTAGTTTCCTTCTTATCAAACGCAAATAATAAAAATGTAGCAGGGTATTATAGGTTAAAATATTAACAATGAATATTTTGATAATATACTAAGTGACAAAAAATTTCAAAATGATTGCACTGCTTCAAAGCCCTTTGACCTTTAATAATGTGTGGATGCACCCTGATGTGCTACGCATTCTCCAACGCGCCTAGGCATGCTTCTGATCAGGTGGTCAATGTCCTCCTGTGGTATCTCATTCCAGGCAACCACCAACTCCTCTCGAAGTGCTTCTAGAGTCTGAGGAGGACGTTGCAAATTGAGCAATCTCCTACCTTTCTATATCTGACTTTTTTACTTGGTTTTCAGTGCCAATATTTTTTAGTTGAGTCTCCAAGGAAGATATTTTGACTTTAACTTGGTCACAGTAACTGCAAGAACCTGATCTAGGATACCCAAATCCAATGTTGAATTTTGTCGTGAAAATTAGTCTGTAAGATTCATAACTTATTTTTTGATCTGGGTATATTGCACAAAAGAAGGTATACATTTTTTTAATGTTTAAATTTTCTGGGAGATACAGTTTTCTTGACTTTTTCAAACTATAATGAGATACACGCCCTTTAAATGATCTGATATATTGCTCAACAAGATGTACCATATCTGGACTCATCTTATGTGGCCGTTTGTGATGCCTACCTACGATTTGAAAGTTACACAAATTTAATAATCCAGCTTCTGTGGTATACACAACTCACGTCTCATATCGTCAACTGAGCTGCCCTGCCTTTGAAGACCACTTTTTGTTGCTATTAGTCTCCTGTTTGTTATTCCATGTAGACTGATAAATGCCTGCTGACGCACTAACATTTCATAGAATCCATCATTCAACTCATTTTGAACCCTTGTTTTGTAACGAAATGTATTGGATCTCATATTTGCATTATCTTCACTCTTCCGTGGCCGACGTCTTCTAATTGACAGCATAGAAACTAACCCAGCTATGTGTCTGTGCTGTGAATTTCTGTTGTCTAGTAAATTGAATGCTCTTACAATATTATTTTTTCTCCATCGCTCAGTTTTTGAAAACAACATTTTTTATATTTACAAGGATTCCCAGTCTCAAATGTATGGTTTCAGACATGTTTCTCGACATCTCTTACACGACCGCAAGACTTTCTCTTTCATGTTTTATTTAAGACATCTGTCAAAGGGATAGAGTCGCTGTCACTACTGGACATGACAATACATGTACGATTATTTCTGATCTTGATAATTCCAGACAGAAAATGCGCTGAACGCTTGGACACGTTCAGAATCAGACTGAACGTTAAACACGGCTCCCTTCTTCTTTCTTTGATCGGCTATCGGACTAGGATCGGTTATCCGTAAATTGGGATGACTTAGATCGCTCTTTCATTGTTCGCTCATTTTTAAACGCAAATATAAGGGATTTTGATCGGCCTTTCAATGGTTCACTATGGAAGACATACAAATTCGTATACTAAACTACCGTTTGACGTAGCAATCACCATTTTCGATATTTTGGACTTGGATCGTTTTTCCCGTGTTCTCTTCATATTTTATCAGAAATATAAATCATGAAGACCCCAAAAATTGTTCGGAGAAGCCTGCTGAATATGCAAATTTATAATTGTATGATCCTGTTGGGTTAACTTAAGGCCCGACGATATAGGCATTAGAGAGGCTCCAATAAGTGATTGAAGATCGAAGCGTCATCTGTGAGACAGAAGCAGAACTCTCACACTTTTCAAGGTAGATTTCTAAATTCATTCTTGTGTTCTGCTGCCGTCTGACAGATGGCGCTAATATCGTTTAGATCCCTTTCTGAATGCCGGAATACAGTATGTGTCGGCTATCTCCATTTAAAATACGTTAATCAATGGTAGTGGTTGAAAATAATTTAATGTAAACATGAGCAAAACATTCCATTGTACGAGGGTGGTCCGTTAGGTACTAGTTTTGTTTTGACTGTGATTCACAAGTTGTACATCGACTACATGGAGAAGGACAAAGCGGTCACAGGGCTCTACTAGGTCGAATTATTGAGCCGATTTGACACCTGAGTGCAGAAAGGACGGACCAATATGGCGAAGAAAAAAGTGCTCTTCCACCATGACAACGTTGCAAACCTCCAGAAAACGTATTTTGCAGACGGTTTAAAGAAGTTACATCATCGCTGGATGAAGAGTTTCCAGCTAAAGGGAGACTATGTTAAGAAATAAATCGCCACTTTTCCAAGGCTTTCCTTTTCTTTCTGTAGGCTAAGTACTTATCGAATCGCCCTCGTATAATCCTTAAAGCGATCTGCATAGTTCTTTTCAATTTCAGATGACGATTTCTACCTGTTACCTCCAACAACAAAAGAGAAATCGTGGTCGCTTGGGCTGAGAGCCATCAACAACGGTAACAAAGAACACGCGCATCCCTCCACAGAGATCACGTGCTCAATTGAGGACGTAGCAGGCAAGCTCAACGGTTCTAAATGGGAAATAAATAAGGATATAGATGTTAGTGTGTTGGACGTGAATAACTGCCCTCCTAAGCCACAGTATCCGGAACTGAATATCCGCATGCCTCGAATGGATTTCAAACAGGTAGGATTAAAGTGAAGTGCTCTGGAAAAAAATATCCGCATGTGATGACGTCTGTTCGTATATATTGGCTGGATTTGATTCTGTGAAACAAGGTACGAGAGAGTTCAATCTGTGGGATGTTGTAAAGAGATGGAAGCCGGCTGGATAGCGAAGCTCACCACTACGTTGGCTAGCAACGCTGACGCGGCTATCTGCCGGTTTGCCGATGTGTACACCAGTTCCTTGAATTAAAATGCATGTTGAAAATATGCGTTAGTTTATTATCTACGCCCAAATAATGGTTTTACTTTTGAACTGTAAATCGTGTCGAATCTGTTTAGGATCGATTCCGGATCGGAACAGCGCTTCATTTTCGTGCGAAATGGAAGGTTGGGATCGCTGCAAATTATGCATTAACACTGTATCTCGTACATTCCAAGGCATGGTTTCCACCAGCATGATCATAGATAGGCGATCTTGGTCGGTACCCATCTAGCGCTCATTGGGGAGTGTCGTCCTGCTTCTAAATAGTTTTCACCTGCGTACACGCAGGCAGTGATAATTTGTATTGCGTAATGTAACAATAACTCAAGATGTGTTGGTTTTATCACAATCGGTTTAACCCGCCTGTAGTCGCGCCCTGGTTTTGTACTCTGTTGGTCGCGCTGGGTTTATCAGACCCACTAAACTTTCCGTTTTCTTCGGTACAAAAAGCTCGTTTGCCTAGAATAACACATGAACCAGTATAGTGTTTGACATATGTCAACTCATACTTTCAAAAATGGAACATCGACGAAATAAAATGCGCTTATTGATACCTCTTGATAGATTTACATCAAAATATCGAACTAAAAGCAAAAAAAACAGTGAAATCAAACATTGAACGCCAAGATAATGATCTATAAGAAACATTGACTTAATGAATAATAACAAATTAATTGCTGTCATTTTCAGAACCTATTTTCTCCCCGTAAGAGTCTTGACACTGCGAGAAATCTGTATTCAGTCGCGCTGGGTCTGAAATCGGAAACATGGAACAACACACTCAGCTT